AAAACATTTGAATGTTTTTCTACCTTTGAATGTCTTTCTAATAATACTGGATTTCTCCTCAAAGATTTGTAAGATTGAGAGAGTGGATTTACCATTTGGTGTTATCATCAAGGTTCGGTAAAGCATAATAGTTGGTGAATTTAGATTGAAGTCATCAGATCCCTTGCACTTTGATTGAGGCACATCCCCAATGGCTAAATATTCAATCCAATCCAAAGATGGTCCAACCTAGGAATAGACATCTCTAATCTCAACCAGTCTGGAGGCAGAAATTAGTTTCTGATCATCTTGCAGGATTTAATCTTTCTGAAGTTATCTTTCAATCATTATCATCAAAAAGATGCCAGCAGCACTTATCATTTACTAGAAAATTTATGATATTTATTGCTCATGATTTGAAGCTATTAAACAACAATGTGAAATGTGCATCACAAGAACCATTAGGTTTCTGAGATTTCCAAATGTATTCTGACGCCAGAGAGAACTTACCTCTTCAAGATCTTTTCATGAATTTATAGCATACAATTCATTTCTAGCTAAATTGCACTAACATGTCAGTGAGTGTATTAATATTTGTTAATACACATTTCCCAAAAACAATAACTCTAAAATACTGGGCAGTAGCTAATTTCTCAAACCTATTATTCTTAGTAAAATAACTCCACAGAGGCCAGGGTGCCGTTACCAGGTCACCCATTATTTATACGTGGCAAGTCCTTCCAGCTTCCTCAGATCTAGCTCCCAGAGTGAACAGAATGTCTGACACCCCTGTTTTTATCTGTCAGCCAGGGCTCCCTATATTGACCAGATTAATATCCCCAATCAGTGAAATCATATTCTATGAAGTCCACTTAGCTGGCCTCGTTACAATCACTGTATTCCCTCCCTCTCTGAGTCCAAGGATATAGGCCGGTTCTTTTTATCGTATCACCTTCTGGGGCATTTTAGCACTGGGTCAGGTTCGTCCAACACTGCCTCGGATATGGGCGACATGTAATGCACAGCAGCTCACCTCTCACACCCAAAGCTTCTCCGAAGAAATTCATTCTCTTCTTTAGGTGGCAAAGGCGTTGAGACGGCAACATCCACTGTGTCCATCCCAGATTCTAAGGTTACGTCTGGATATTTAATTAGGACTTCACTCAGGCAGCTATTTTCTAATTGAAAAATGTTGAGCCAACGTAGATGAATCTTTCTCAACCATTTTTGTCCCATCAAGCTTGGGCCCAAGCCTTTCACTACAATCAGAGGTAACTGAACCAGTTGCTTCTCGTAAGAAGCCGAAACCGAATTTGTACCCTTAACCTGTAAAGGTTCCCTGGTATAGGTTCTCAGTCGAGAGCTGCGGCCTTGCGCAAGCTTAAGGGTTTGAGTCCAGAGTGAATTTTGTTAAAGACTGGTTCTGCAATCATTGAAACAGCTGTGCTGCTACCAACCTCCATTAAAACTGGGTAACCATTTAACCAGACATTTATTTTGATTGGATCAGAGACAGTAGGAACTGCAG